CCTCCCCATTTCCCTCTGCCCTCGCCCCCGCCCTGGCTTATTCCGACCGACCGTGCCCCCTCCCCTCTCCCTGTCCCGCGCCCCGCCCGCTTGCGTATTCCGATCGGCCGTGCCCCCTGCCTGCCTGTCCCCCGCCTCCCCCCTCCCTATTTCCCTCCCCCCTCGCCGCCTTTCCTTGCTTGTTCCGACCGACCGTGCCCCCTTGCCCCCCTCCTCCCCTGGCAGATTCCGACCGACCGTGCCCCGCCCCCCCGCCTTCCGCGCCCACCCCTAGCTTATTCTGACCGACCGTGTCCCCTTCCCCTCTGCCTGTCCCGTGCCACCCCTCTGGCTTATTCCGACCGGCCGCGCCCCCCTCCTCCCCCAGCCCTCCGCCCCCCCATCCCCTCACCTTTTTCCCCCTCCCCCCTCGCACCCCCCTGGCTTATTCCGACCGGCCGTGCCCCCTCCCTCTCCCTGCCTAACCTAACATCCTGTCCCCGCCCCGCGGTCTTTTTGTCCCCCCCAAAGAGCCCTCCCCAACTAGTCCGACCGACCGCGCCCCCCTGTCCTCCGTGCCCCCCCCCTTATTTCAACCGATCGCGCCCCCTCCTCTCTGCCCGTCCAATGCCCCCCCTGGCTCATTCAGACCGACCGCGCCCCCCTCCTCTCCCTGCTCTCCGCCCATATCCCCTCCCATTTCCCTCCTCCCCCGTCCTCCTTTTCGTGATTACGACCGACCATGCCCCCTTTCCCCTCTCTTTGTCCAGTGCCCCCCCTGGCTTATTCCGACCGCCCGTGCCCCCCTCCTCTCCCTGTCATCCGCCCGTCTCCCCTCTCCTGTCCCTTCCCCCTCGCGCCACTTTTCCGTATTCCGACCGACCGTGCTCCCCTTCCATCTCCCTGTCCCGTACCCCGCCTTGGCTTATTCCGACCCCCTCCCCCCTCGCCCCCGCCCTGGCCCATTCCGACCGACCGTGCCCCCTGCCCTCTCACTGCCCCGCGCCCTCCCCCCGCCCCGTGGCCTGCCCCCCTCTGGCGCATTCCGACCGACCGTGCCTCCCCCCTCTCGCTGTCCTCCGCCCCCTTCCCCTCCCCATTTCCCTTCACCCTCGCCTCCTTCCTGGCGTATCCCGACCGACCGTGCCGCCTTCCCTCTCCCTGTCTCGTGCCCTGCCCCCGCCCACCGGCCTTTCGGCCTCCCCCCTGCAAGCTCCCCGCCTGGCTTACTCAGACCGACCGTGCCCTCGCCCCCCCCGTCCTCCGTGCCCCCCTGGCTTATTCCAGTCAAGCGGGCCACCTCCCCCCTGCCTGCCCCGCGCCCCCCCTAGCAGCTTATCCCGACCGACCGCGCCCCCTTTTTTTCCCTGCTTTCCGCACCCCCCCTCCCCATGCCCATCCCCCCTCGTCTCCCCCTTGGCGTATTCCGACCGACCGCGCCCCCTCCCCTCCCTGTCCCGTGCCCTCCCCCCGTCCCGTTGCCTTTTTGTCGCATCCCCCACGAGCCCCCCCCCCCCCCCTGGCTTATTCCGACAGGCCGTGCCCCCGCGCCCCCCCGTCCTCTGTGCCATTCTTGGCTTATTCCGACCGGCCGCGCCCCCTCCCCCGTGCCTGTCCCATGCCCCCCATGTCTTATTCCTACCGACCGTGCCCCCCTCCTCTCCCTGCCCTCTGCCCCCCCTCCTCCCCTTTCCCTTCCCCATCCTTTCCATTTTGCAATATTCCGACAAACCGTGCTCTCCTCCCCTCTCCCTGTCCCGTGCCCCGCCCTGGCATATTCCGACTGACCGTGCTCCCCTCCTCTCCCTGTTCTCTGCCTCCCTCCCTCCTCGTTTCCCTCCCCCCTCGCCCCCCCCTCTCCCTGTCCCAAGCCCTGCCCCCGCCCCGTGGCCTTTTTGCCCTCCCCCCCAAGAGCCCCCCCCCAGCTTATTCCGACCGACCCCCCCTGGCTTACGTCACCCGATCGTGCCCCCTCCTCTCTGCCTGTCCCGTGCCCCCCCTGGCATGTTCAGACCGACCGTGCCCCCCTCCTCTTCCTGCTCTCCGCCCGTACCCCCTCTGTTTCCCTCCCCCCTCGCCCTCCTTTTCCTTATTCCGACCGACCATGCCCCCTCACCTTTCTTTGTCCCGTGCCCCCTCCTGGCTTTTTCCGAACGACCTTGCCCCCCTCCTCTCCCTGTCATCCGCCCGTCTCCCCTCTCCTGACCCTCCCCCCTCGCACACCTTTTTCCTTATTCCGGCCGACCGTGCCCCTCTTTCGAGAGCCTGGCCCAACCCAAAGACTCCCTCCAAAGCCCCGAGAATGCTTCTGGAGGCGGCGCGCACCGACGGACCTGGCTCGCCCCGATCATTGGCCGTCATTGTGCAGCATTCGCACATGTCCCCCACCAGCCAGATATTGCCGTCATCGCGATCACCCCTTGCATCCCACCCGTGATTGTATGATCCTTGGCACGCGTGCCTCTTGTTACTGCTTTCTGGTGGGTGTTCCAGTGGTTTCTAGTGTCAGCTGCGAACTTTTTCCCCCAAAAAGCAAAAGAGGGATTGCGGACAGGGAGGAGAACTTGGCCAGGGGAGCAGGAAGAAGACTTGAAGACTTATCCGTAAGACTTTCTTTCTCAAGAGTCCATGCTGGTAAGGGTGCGTTCAGCAAGGATTCGCGAGTATTGGCCCACGAAGAATTATGCTGAGCGAGGACTGCTTTAACGCAGGTTCAACTAATACAGGGGTCCCTCTCTCACCCCCTCCCTTCCTACCCCCTCCCTTCATCATATCGTTGGTTGGCGGGGTGTGAAGTCCCCTGGAACAGAAACCCGCACAGCGATCCCAGCATACATGTTTTGGGGTGGGGTTGGAACTAACAACAAGCTACCAGTGAAAACAATGGACACGTTGTTCATGTGCCTGGAACCCCCCACCCACCCACAGGCCAGGGAGACAGGGAAGTAGGGAGGGGAGGGAGGAGAACTTGGAGGAGGCATGGGCAGGACAATGCCGAACGACTCCTTAGAAGGGGCTTCTTGGTACGGATCTATTTCGGTGGAAGTTCCTTATGTACGGATTGCTTCGCAAGGAATCCTTACCGAGGGGCCATATCTCAGAGGATCTTCCGAACACCTAGTTACATTGGTGTCCTTGAACGTTTGATATGTGTTTCTCAGACCTGTCTAGCGCTCCAGCGTCCAGCCTAAGGAAGTCGAAATAAGGGCTAATTATCGACGATTCCTTCAATACGGTTTCCTATAGCAAAGAATCCTTCGGTAAGGACGTCTTGAACCAAGGAACCTGAGCTACTCCATCAGTGGAAGTTTTCGCAGAAAAAAACGTTTAGCAAAAGCTCCTTCAAAATGAATTATGTAGAAAGGGTTCCGTCAGCAAGGACTCCTGTTGTGACGAGGGAGGAGGGGAGGAGGGCGGGTCTGGGGGAAAAGGCCCCAGGGAAAAAAAAGACTAGTTGAATCGATCCTCCAAGTCAGAGTCAGGGGGGCGAACGGTCAGTCATTGTCCCTGGGTGCGTGGCTGAAGTGGGGATCCGTGGTGAAGATTATGCTTGTTGCGTCGTTGTTGTTGTTGTTGTTGTTTGTTTGCTCTCGTCGTCCCACCCGAGACCCACCCGCGACCCACCCCGCGACCCACCCCGCGACCCACCCCGCGACCCACCCCGCGACCCACCCGCGACCCAACCCGCGACCCACTCCTTGACCCACCCCGCGACCCACCCGCGACCCACCCGCGACCCACCCGCGACGCATCTGCGACCCAACCCGCGACCCACCCGCGACCCACTTGCGACCCACCCGCGACCCACTCCGCGACCCACCCGCGACCCACCCGCGACCCAACCGCGACCCAACAACGACCCACCCGCGACCCAACCGCGACCCAACCGCGACCCACCCACATTGGTTTAACAGAAAAATCGGCACCAGCGGCGGGCTCGTTGTATTATCTGTGAAGCGTTGGCGCCTGCGGCTGGCTTCTCCAGAGTCTCACAGACTGCCGACGTCCCCACCGCCCCCTCACTCTTATCCGCATCTGTGGAGTGCTGTGGTCATTTTCAAAGCAACAGTCTAGAGGGTCAACTCCACTAGTCCGGTTTTCGTTGTTGTCCTTATGGGGCTTCCCCCCCGCCCCCTCTCTCCTCCACACGAGGAGTCGAAGAGTGGTCCGCCAGGTAGGTTTCAAGATGTACATCTTCCCAGGCAGTCACACATGCGGAAACAGTCGCGCACTCAGAACGATGTGTAGGAGAAGAAGAGACAGACGAAGGAGAGAGAGGGACCCGAGGGCGAGGAAGAAGGTGTGATTCAGGAGCACCTCAAAAGCGCGAGGCCCCGTTACGCTCCCTAACCCCGAACCTCGACCGTCGATCGAAATCCGAAGGAACTCCTCAACGATTACTCAATATGAATACTACTCTCTTCTCTCCCCTGGAAATGGCCGGAATTTCAAACATTTGTACTTTCGATGTGTTGTTCGATCGGAGCGTCTTCGGTGTCTTCAACCAATGCTGCTGCTGCTGCTTCTGCAACGTGGGCCTATTTTTACGATGGCGCTCTCGCCCAAACCGGGCCGCTGTTTTAGGTGCGAGTGCTTCCTCGTCGACGTCGTCCCGCTCCATTCCTCACCCCCGCCTTCCCCTGCTCATCCTGCTCCTCTGACTTCTCCCACTCCAGCTCATGCTGATGTTCCTCCTTGTCCTCCTCCTCCTCCTCCTCCTCCTCCTCCTTCCTCATCCTCCTCCCCTTCCTCCTGCTCATCCGCCACCTCCTCCTCTTTCTCCCCCAAATGTGCGCAACTCCACTTATGTGATTGTGCATGGCACGGTGGGGTCCTTCTTGGAAGTTCTAGGTCCGCTACGGCACGCGTCGGCGGATAGAGAAGAAAAACAGCGCCGTGGGAAGGGATGGATGAGAAGGGTCGGATGTCAGATCTGGCGCGAGCGCGCCTAGCTTGATCATCTCCCCCCTTTCCGCTATCCTTGTGGTTCTCCTTCCCATCTGAGAGACGCCCACGCTCGCCTAAGAAATCGTCGCTGCCCTGGACCGTGTGGTCGTCGTGGTCCCAGACGGACAGCTCGACGTCGAGGGCCAAGTGCTCCTCGTTGACGGCCACCTGCAAGACCTCGTTCCACTTTGGGTCGTTGTCGTTCATGATGGTCCTGGTTCTTTTTCTCTGGAGGCCGAGCTCAACGACGCCGTAAGGGTCCGACTCGCTCCAAAAGTCCGCGTTGAACAAGTTCCGCGCCTCCGTGAAGGTCACCTGACCGCCGAAATCTGTGGTTCCGACATCGGGCCCCCCTGCCTTCGCACATCGCGCCGCCCGAAGCGCAAGTCGCGCTCATCTTCGCATCACCCTGAGGAGGGACAGCTCGCCAGCCCAGGCCAGGATGCGCGATGAGAGGCAGTCCGTCGCATCCATCGCTTGGAGGCCATCGAGGCAAGCTCCTGCACACCCTCAAGAGGTGGGGATCTCCGAAATGCCAGCTGAGGGGGAGGGGGGACGGGGACCACCGATTCGGCAGGCGGCTGCCTGCAGCGTCCCCACCGTGCCAAGCAGGTCCCCTGCCGAGGGCTTGGGCACCACGCGATCCCTCACGAACTGCGCCTGCCGCCTCGCGTGGCACAACGAAGGATGGGGAGGAGGAGGAGGAGGATGAGAAGGAGGAGGAGGAGGAGAAGGAGGAGGAGAAGGAGGAGGAGGAGGAGGAGGAGAAGGAGGAGGAGAAGGAGGATGAGGAGGAGAAGGAGGAGGAGCGAGCGAGCGAGCAGAAGCCGAGAGGCGGTTGGACGGGCCGCGGGCCGAAGGCCCGCAGACGAAGAGGAAGAGAAGAAGGAGGAGGAGGAGGAGGAGGAGGAGGGAGGATGCATGAGGAAATCTGGAGGACGGGAGAAAGAGGGAGGAAGAAGGAAGGAGGAGCGGGTAGGAGGGGGAGGAGGTATAAGAAGAAGGAGGAACGCGAGGGGACGAGGGGGGAGGAGGAAGAAGGGACCAGGAAGGAGGGAAGAGAGAGAGAGAGAGAAACAAAGAGAGAAAGAGAGAGAGAGAGAGAGAGCTGAGAGGAGAGGGAGCGAGAGAGAGAGAGAAGGGAGGAAATGGAGGGAGGATGAAGAAGGGAGGAGACAGGACGAAAGGAGAGGGGAAGGTTCCATCGCCAGACCCGCCACCAAGGGTCCGCAGAGTTATCTTCCTCAAAGCCTGGTGGTTCGCCAAATATACGACAGGCAGATGGGACCCTGTGATACTTGCCCGAACTCTTCCAACAAGCTCCAGGGGAGGCATGAATCAGACATGGATATTGGCCCGGACCGATTGCCCGACGGCTCCGAGCCGAGATCAGTGGATCGGCGCTGGCCCCCCTTGGCGGCGCCTCTGGCGCTGCCCCTGGCGCGCTCCGCGCGCCAGGGAGGGAGGTCCAGCGCAAAACCCCGAAAGTTTACGTTTATGCATGCTTGTTCTTCTTTGATTCTCAGCCGCGGTCGCGAGCCGGGGAGAACGAAGGGCATGCAAAGTGTGCTGGCGGCCAGCACGCAGAGTGCGCGGGCCGTGTGCGCGTCCAGTCCGAACAAGCACGGACTGCATGCCGAAACGATAGGGGGCGGTCAGCCCGTGACGTCGGCGAGCGGTGCGGCGGTCGGCCCCCCATCAGATAGATATGCGAACGGCCCCGATGTCAACGGCCTATCGATCGGATGTCAATCGGACACTCATAAAACGAAGCCAAGAGGAGGATAAAGCTGGGTGGGGATCAATTCAAAATGTCTGAGATCCGGCGGTTCTGGACGACGTATCGGGCGCCGCGGCCTTCCCAGAGCGTTCCGGAACTCTTCGAGAGCGTCCCGGAACGACCTCGAACAGATTTCATCCTCGTGCTAGCCCCGTCCGAAATCGGCCTGCAGGCGGAGTGCCGCACTGCAGAGGGTCAACAGGGCGCCACGAAGATGTGGGCACGGAAGATAGCTCGGGGGTGAGACAGGACTAGAGCCATCGTGCTCATTACCAGGAGGTACGCTGGGAGCGAGGAAGGAGCGAGGAGGAGGAGGAGGAGGAGGAGGAGGAGGAGGAGGAAATAGGGAGCGAAGGGGCCTTTCTGGCAATGGCGAACCTCGGCCACGAAAAAGTGCCCCGACGTGGACCTTGGGAGCGGCCCGAACCCGAAATGAGTAGCCCCTCATGAGCCCAAGGTGATCCTTACCTCAGCGCCCTGACTGTACAAATACGGGGCATTTGGGGGGGATGGGGTGGAAAAGTTTACAGGGGCAGAGGCAGCAGCGCGTGGCGGACCCCAAAAACCCGCAAACTCAACATGTTGACGTCTCATTTCTATCTCCGTCGCCCTCCGCCGGCTTTCCGCCCGCAGACCGGCCGCTGTTTCGCTTCCGTTGGCTTCCGCTGGTCTCCAGCGAAGGCGAGATGCGCCGAAGGCGAAGATGTTTTCTGGAACGCGTTTTGTGCGCAATATTTGCGAGGGCGCGCCGCTGGATCTCCCCAGGGGGGGGGGTTGGGACCCCCCCCCCCGCCCCTTTCCTCGATCCGTCGTCGGGGACCCCCCCCCCTCCCTTTCCTAGTCCGTCGTCGGGACCCCCCCCCTCCCCCCTTTCAAAAGGAGGGGGGCTCGGGGGTTCTGGACCCTCCCCCCCCCTCCCCGCCTTTGGCCGCACCCCCCCCCCTTCCCCACGCCGCCCCCTGACTCCGGAACCCGACCCCCGCCACCCCTACCCCTAGTCCTCACCCTAACCCAACCCCCTAACCCTAACCCCAACCACTAACCCCAGCCCCAAAGAGCACTCATTACTCAGTACTCACTACCCACTACTGACTACTCGCTATTCGCTACTCACTTCTCACTACCCCCTACTCACTACTCAAGACTCACTACTCACTATCCACTACTCACTACCCACCACCAACTACTCGCTACTCACTACTCCCTACTCACTACTCCATCCTCCCCACTCACTACTCACTACTCACTCCTCACTACCCACTACTCAATACTCACTACTCACATCTCACTACTCACTACTCCCTACTCACTACTCACTAATCCCTACTCATTACCCACTACCCACTACCCACTATCCACTACTCACTATTCATTGCCCACAAATCACTACTCACTACCCGCTACTCGCTACTCCCTACACAATATTGACTACACAATACTCGGTACTCACTACGCGCTACTCCCATACGCACTGCTCAATGCTCACTACTCGCTCCCCGCTACTCACTACTCACTTCTCACTACTCACTACTCCCTACTCACTAGTCGCTACATAATCTCTAGTAACTAGTCACTAGTCACTAGTCACTAGTCACTATTCACTACCCACTACTCACTAATCGCTACTCACTACCCACTAGTCGCTACCCACTTCTTACTACTCACTGCTCACTACTCCCTACTCACTACTCCCTACTTACTACTCACTACTCACTACTCGCCACTCCCTACTCGTTTCTCGCTCATCACTACCCACTACTTACTACTGGCTACTCTCTACTCACTACTCGCGACTCACTACGCCTTACTCGCTCCTCACTACTCACTACTCGCTACTCCCTACTCGCTACTCACTACTCACTACCCACTGCCACTACCCACTATTCTCTATTCATCACTACTCACTACTCCCTACTCGCTACGCTCTACTGACTACTCACTACTCACTACTCACTACTAACTACTCACTACTCACTACCCACTACCCACTACTCACGACGCACTACGCCCTACGCACTACCCACTACTCACTACTCACATATCAATACTCGCCACCCACTACTCACTACCCCCTACTCACTACACCCTACTCGCTACTCACTACTGATTACCCACTGCCAATACCCACTACTCTCTATTCATCACTACACACTACTCGCTACTCACTACTCACTACTCACTACTCACTAGGCACTACGCACTATCCACTACTCACTACTCACTAATCACTACTCGCCACCCACTACTCACTACCCAGTACTCACTACACACTACTCATTACTCCCTACTCCCTACTCAGTACTCACTACTCGCTACTCACTACTCACTACTCACTACTCGCTACTCACTACCCACTTATCAGTACACACTACTCACTATACACTACTCACTACTCCCCATTCCCTACTCCTTACTCCCTACTCGCCACTCACTACCCACTACTCACTACCCAATACTCACTACTCACTACGCCCTACTCACTACTCCCTACTCCCAACTCCGTACTCCCTATACACCTTCTCCGGCGCAGAAAGGAGAAGCGAGAGATGCCCCCCCTCCCCAGCTTCCTTTCCGGCGCAAAGGAGGGGAGGGGGGGGGGGTCCGAACCCCCCCCCCCTTCCAGCGCCAAGGGGGGGAGGGGGAGGGGTGAGGGGGGGTTTCGGGCCCCCCCCCCACCTTAAGGGGGGGAGGGGGGGGGGTCGAAAATCTCACCCCCTCTTGGAAGGGGGGAAGGGGGGGGTTCTGCGAGCACCCCACTCCTTTTGTTTATTCACGGAGATCCACTGGCGCGCTTTCATAATTTGTGGCAGCAGCCGTTGTGCTGCTAAGTCGCTGAAAAAAGTGCCGGAACCATTGGCCCCCGCCGCTTTCCAACATAGGGAACGTGCCCTGCTGTTTGGAATTCTTCTGTTGTGCCAGGGCGGAGGCGAAGAGCGAGTCTGGCCTGTCCAATCTCCATAGTCTCTGTCACTCGCTGTAGACCCTGCGTGCCGTGCGACCACGCATGGTAGCTGCGTCGTTGTTCTTCACTGAGCTGGGCGCCACGCTTCACCACGATGCAACTAAGCCGGTCTGGAAGCTTCTCGCCGAAGGCCGACTCGAACTCCCGCAGCTTGGGCAACTTCCTCGCCTAGTACTGCGTCATGGTGACGCCGTTATCGCGATCTCCCTGGAAGATCGTCTCCTCGACCGGCACCTCCAGACCCATCTCCAGGTCCGCCGCACAGGCTAGCTTGATCTGGCCAATCACCGCATCCCAACCCTGCCCACTCATGATAACCGACTCCAGCTCTG